TCGACTGGAAGAAAATTTTTTTAAATGGCAATCTTCACGCTTTTCTCTCAGGCTTCTATCCTGTACCACTTTCTCTTTTTACCCATTTTGATCACACAAAAACATCTCCCTTTTCCCTCTCAGCAAGTTAAAATGAAACTCCTGAAACTTTGCAGATTTAACATCTCTGTTTAAGATTTTTTTTTTTTCATGAAAAATGGCTGCTTGCTGTCAACTCTTTTTCAAGCCACCTATGTTCTCAACCCACTCCCAGGGCAGACTCTGGCCAAGTAAGCTGCTGCTATCTTGTGTTTCCTAGTTGTCCCCAGTGCTTGTCCACCACCTCTTTTCCCAGAGATAGAAAACCCACTGTGGTAGGGGACATCTCTGTGTTTTCCACTGTCTCGTGGAAAATTGAGTCCTGCTTAATGGTGCTAAGCAGCAGTGGCAGTAATTACAGCAGTGAAGAGGTACAACGAAGGATTTGTTATCCCTAGTAATTCCTCACTGCTGGAGCAGTCCCAGGGGCCATTCTCAGCCTATCTGACCCATAAAGGCAGGCGCAGCCAAAACTTCCTGGCCACCCTTGCTCCAGGACTCTGTATGGAGGGGTGGGAAGCTGAACCAAAGGACCCAACTGTAGTTCGGGCTCTTCAGAGGTGGCAAATATATTCCATCTGTCACACCACTGCTTGGCTCTGTGAGCACTAAGTAAATTTGAAATATAGCCCAAACCCTCTATAAAAGGGGGTAATAATGTAAACCTCCAAGATCTATAACCAATGCTTTGCACTCTCTAATGTTCTGTTGTAGATTTTATTGCAAGAATGTTTAATAGAAAGTCATTTACCTACACCCACATTCTGGGTAGGACAGTATTGTCTGACAAGTGTCTGTCTGGAGGAAACCACAGCAAAGCCATCATAACCAACTTTTTGTGGAAAAGAGCCTTTCTTATTAATTCTGTAGTCTCTGGTTATTTCCCTTCCATTTCCTTGATTCCAGACCTCACTTGCCATTGCCCCTGTGGTGCCTACATGCTCTGCTTAGGAAGCTTTAATAGAGTTTTCATCTCTCATGTGACAAAGAATTACACAAGAAGGAATGGCCCAAGCTTTTGTCTAGATTTCTCACAGAAATCCTGGAACTAATTTCACAGTGCCACACTCATGAGAGGACTGACACTGCAGTACTCAGCCATAAACAACCACATATTTCCCAAAGCGTATAAGCACATGAGTGTAGGGGGATGGACTTGGAAGACACCGAATGACTCCTCTGGAGAAGCATCCTTCCACCAGCTGGGAGAAGGAGCTCCTCCAGGGCTGTGAGGTGAGTGCAGAAGGGTGCTCAGCCTTTGGCTCTGAGCTGGCTGCTGTTCCAGGGCAGTGGGTATTCATCACCTGTATGATTCTAGTTGAACGGTGTGGGTAGATTTCCATTGTAAACAAGACGCTCACACGAGTTGAAATAAAAAAATGAGACAGGAGGCAGGAGAAGTAGCTGCTGTGCCTGATGGCCACTGATCCTTTCCATGTGAGGGGGTAACCTTTGGTAACCCTGGCCCCATGTCATGTGACAGGGCCAGGAAATAAACCCTGGGCTCTTACCAGCACTCCTGTGTGTTACACCTTTATTGCAGTGATGACAGGTTGATGGCTCCACTGAAAGGTTCTTTTCCTTCAGGGAGTCCTGTCCAATGTTCAGCTTTATCCGTCCATAAATGCTGTCTAAGTAGTGTAGGGTCCTGGAAAAGGTTCCTGCTCCCCCTCGACCCTCCTGCCAAAGGCTGGCTGGGAAAGGGGCCCCTCACCTGCCTGTCAAAGTCACTAACTCACTGTCACCACGGCCAGCTTTCTCCTCTTCACAAGTGGAGGGCACTTGCCTCCATGGGAGACTTTCAGAAGGATCCTCCTTCCCCCCTCCCTGCCCCATCCCATTCCATCCCATTCCAAACCATCATACTGAAAGAGCAGGCAATCCTCACATGCTTTTCTTGGATCTCAGAAAGGCTAGGAAAAGAAGCTCTCGATTCAGATAACTCCACTGACAGACCATAGAATGACTTATAGGTTTCTCTCCCCACCTCCCCCCTCCCCCTCCCTTACAGTTTTATTTCTCCATTTTCCTTCCTGACAATAATCAGGGGGATTTTGAGAAGCTGCAGGGTTACCCTATGTGCAGGGTTGCTGTGGAGATATTGAGAATAAAAATAGTAATAATAATCAACTGAATAAATAAATGAAGTAGGAAGGCTGCTGATCACAAATTGTGAGCTCCCAGTATTTGAATGCAATTATTGCCTGTTTTATTCCTCCCCCACGCCCCCCAGCTCTCTGTTAATTACCACTCGTGGGAAAGGTAAGCTGACCGGTTTGATAATTCCCAGCACCACAACAAGTGGTAGGAACGAGTTTAAACTGGAGATCCTGAAAGCTTTCTCTTTGCATAAGACGAATTTATAGCTTGGAAACTAAATATTTGTTCAAAGAACTTTTGGAGGTGTTTGAGCACACAGGGGAGATGAAATGGCAGATTAAATATTTCATTTACATGCGATAAGCACGGCATTAAGTCCTATCTTAATTCTTCACCTGTTTTCTGAAATCCTTTGACAAACACGAGGCGTTTCAACTCTGTCGAGCAGCTCTGGGGCTCGTGGGGCTGTGCTGTTTCTGGCCGGGAGCACAGGGGCGGACTCCGGTCCTTAACGGGATCCTGCGACTCAGGCTCGCTCCTTTTTAGCAGGAGGCATTTGCAACGCTCTGCTGCTGGGGAAGGATGGGGCTGCGCCCAGGAAACCAGATCTCGCTGCAGGGGGCACGCTCCGGGGACGAGCCCGGGAGAAAGGCTATAAATAGAAGAAACAAGCCGATAAACAGCAAACAGCGCTTTGCGGTGGGAGCGGGACCCGCAGCTCCCGGGGCTGTGGGTGCTCGGCGCGGCGGTCCCTGCCGTCTCGCTCTGTATAAACCTGAAAGTCTGCAGAGGTGCGAGACGGAGCCCCTCCAGCATACAGGCTTCTACACAGGCTCTGCTCTCTCTCCTTGCCAGCAGAAATGCAGAAGAGAGAGAAAAAAATCACTCTCCCGCAGGCTGCATTCAGGGAAGAAAAAAAAAAAAAAATACATGTGTTTATCCATAGATTTAGGGGATCGTTCCAGAGTAGAAAGTATGTGTAAACATGCAAATTTTTACTCCATCTAGAGTTTACTGGAACAAAAGTTATTCCTTCCTTGTACTTCTAATAGGGAAGATTAAAACAGTACCAAATGTGAGCATTAGCGGCTTTGGAAAAGGGGTTTGCTCTTTATGCCCTAAATGCCTAAACCTAATATTTGGAGGTGGCACACAAGCTGTGATCATAAAACGGGTTTTACTGGGAAGCCATGTTTACTTCTTGTTTATCAGACTTATTTTAATTCATTCTGGGTAGGTTCCAAGAGCTGTGCTGGAGATTAAAGGCAACTGCACACCCCAATTAGCAGCCAGTCCTTTCTAAGCAAAAATATTTCTGAGGGGCGAGATGAAAGTGGGATCATTCTGTTCATTAACAGTTGGGCACTGGGGCGGATTACTTATCTCTAGACAGCTCTACCTTGGGCTTGAACCTCTCAAGATTTAAAACGAGTGTCCTCTTAGAAGTGAAATCCCGTTTGAAAATGCCTCTCTGGGAGTGACAGTCGATAGAGCTGTGTGGTACGAGGGCACTGACCGGCAAAACAGCGGCTCTGTGCAGGGCTCTGAGCTCCCCGGCGGAAAATGTAGCTCTGGGGCACTGATCTCACGTGAAACTCTTCAAGTGAAGTCGCGGTGGAGGCCATAAAAATCTTCGCTTCCATTCAAGCGAGGCAGCAGAATATTCGCACCGTTCAGGGGGGACGGTGAGGTGTGGGGCTCAGCAGAGCGTGTTCAAAAGGACCTCACAGCTCCACCATCTCTTTCGGAAGGGTAAGCGGGTGCAAAGCAAGATTTATAGGCCTCTGTGAAGACGTGAGAATTCGGTCTTTCGGGTATAAAATGTGCTCCAGAATAAAGTTTCGAGGTTTATTTGCTCGGTTTTTAGTTGATAAACTCCATATTACTCCGAAGGGAAACACTCCTCCGGTTTACCGCACGCACAGGACGAGATTTACTCTCGCACAGAGGCTTTGCGCCCCCTTACCATCCCGAAAAACACTCGTTGGCCGCGGCCGAGCAGCGCGCTGAAGGCAGCCCACGCCCGGCGCCCCACGCCCCAGGCGGCGATGCCCCCTCCGAGCCCCGCGGAGCGGCGCGGTCGCGCCCCGGTGCTCACGGACGGCCCCGCCGCGGCGGAGCCGCTTGGAGCAGACGGCTGTTAGCAGAGCCCCCCGTGCCGCGGGCTCGGCAGCTCTGTCCCCCCGCCGTTACCCCGGGGTAAGTCTCCGGCGCCTCTTATTAACCTTCTAATGAGTAGGAGAGCCTGGGAAGGCGAGCCACCGAGCCGGGCTGAAACCCCCGGGATCCCGACGGGGACCCCGACGACTGATTTATTTTCTGTCATTGTTTTACCAGACAATGCTCGCTTCCCGAGGAACTTCGGGAGGCTCGGCCGAGTATTGTTTGGAAATATCTTTGCAAATACCCCGCGTGCCCTTCGTTTCAGCCAATCGCAACACCTCTTCGGCTCCAACGAGAGAAAGCTCGGATCCTGCCTTTTATTGAAACCAGCGGAGGACCTCGGGAGGAGGGGGCGGGAGGGGAGGAGAAAAGAGGAGGGGGAGCGGGGTCGCGGGGAGCTGTCCGTCGGCATTAATCACGGGTCCGCTTTGTCGAGAGGAGACAGCGCCGGTGCGTGCAGCTCACATGTGCCGACGGCCGCTCTCCCCTCTTCTCCTGGGCCGGGAACCTCACCTGCACCGGGCCCCGTGGAGCGCGGAGAAGGCAACGCGGCCGCGGAACCCCGGCACCTGAGCGGCCCGAGGCCCGCCCGCAGCCGCGCCCGCAGCTCCCCGTCGGGTGCCCTCGCCCCGTCGCCTCCGCGGGGTTTTCCCCTTTCCCTTCGCTTTCTGTCTCCCTCCCTGCCCCCGCCGCACCTCGCTTTGAAGCACGCAGGGTGACAGGCTTGAAGCAGGTTTGTCCCCAGCTCGCTGGGGCGGGTCCTCGCTCTGACAGCCGGCTGGGGGCACGGCACTGCGGCACGGCTTCTGGGCACAGCGCCTGGCTGCAGGTTTTCATGTGCTGCTCTGGCTGCCCTCCTCGAGAGCCCTTCGAAACACTTTTGCATAAAACGACATTTCGAACATGCACTCCCGCACATCGACAAACACATCCGTGGCGTATCGGACTGTAGACGTGAGTGCGGTGAGCCTACCTCCCTCCTGTAAGTGACCCTTTGGATACTTCGGGGATTTTCCTTCTTCTCTTTGCCCGTCTTCCTGACATGCATTTGCCTTTAGTCATCAATCGGACAGAAGTTTTTCGGGGCTATCTCTGCGGGAGAAACCTCTATTCATCTGAAGGAGCCCCATGTCCCCTGCTCTGAAAATAACGTAATATATTCAGTGCAGGAGTGCGTCTTCGGCACAAACGAGCCTAGAGCGCAGCCCACATCCTGGTCCTTATTTCCCGTGAATCGGGCGTTTGTATCCACCGATGTGAGTGCTACTTATTCCTCGCTGAACAAAAGTCCCCATCAGCTCCCGAAGGCGGAACCCCGGTGGGAGCGGGGAGAGCGACTCGCGGTGGGCTCACATGGCATGAAGGGCAAACGGACTGCAGGAGCAGGGAGCGGGTGGCCGTGCGGACACACTCTTCCCGGTTCCTCTCGTGGGGACATCGCGTCCTCCCCTTCGGCTGCCCATCTCCCATCCCCAGAAGGATGGGTGCATGTCGCAGCCCACTCGAATTCACCCTGCCCCGCTCCTCTGCTCGGAGATGCAGATGGAGGAGTTCCGTTGTCGCAATTATTATTATTATTATTATTTTCATCATCATCATTATTATTACTATCATCACCATAACTTTTATTATTGTTATAAGAGGTCCCACCACCCGAGCCAGTTAGCATAGAAACCCTCCCGTACACATACGTTCATTCCTCTCCCAGGTGTTGGGATGGGAAGAAGTATTTTGGCTGTGTTACAGCTGATGCTTTCCCAGCCAGCTCCTTTCCCAGTATTCTATCCGTGACGGTATGATCCACCTCACCCTTCCATAGAGAAGGTAATACTGCATTTCTTCTGCATGCACAACCTTTCTGATGTCCCTCCTTGCAGATGAAATGTCCGGCTGCTGAAAGAAAAAGAGGGAAAAATTAAAAAAGAAAACAAAAAAGAGCAAAAAATAAAAAGGAAAAATAAGAAGGAAAAATAAAAAGGAAAAATAAAAAGGAAAAAAATCAGAAGACTGTGAAAGGAATAAAACCCTAAGTCCATAAAGATGAAATGTAACGAGAATGTTGAATACATAACGCTGCTATATAACAGTTTCAATTAGTTGAGTAAGTCCTCTGTAACGTCTTGTAAAGGTGTAAGGACACGTTTACAGTATAAGCAACATAATGTTCTCAACTGTACGAGTTAATTATTTCCAGATTTCCTTTTTTTTTTTTTTTTTTTTTTTTTTTTTTTAAGGAGAGGTGAGTTTCACAAGTAAAGGCTCTGTCCGGGTATAAAACAACCGATGCATTTTTCCAGCACTAAACATTACGAGTTCGTAATTAAAAACGGAGGACAGAACGGACAGCTAAATAAACGGATTTGGGGATTTTACGGAGAATTTTCCCGGGACCGTTCAGAAATAAGGGAGCACTCTTTTGTCTAACGCTGAGCTGCGGTTATGGCGATCGTACCTCCTTAGCGCAGAGATACGAGCGCCGAGCAGCGCCGACACAGAGGGCGATAACGCCGCCGGTACGGCCGCGGAGCTAACGCGCTCTGCGCAGCGCCCGGCTGCCGGGCAGTGCGGAGCAGAGATTCGGGCTCCTCCATCCGCAGCGCTACCAAACGAAGCTGAGCGAAGATGTTTGATTTCTTCTTGAACGCTTCCGAACGCCTCGAAACAACCGCTGTAAGGTCTCCGGCGTTCTGCAAGGTCTGTGCATAGCCTCGGCTCTCCCTGGTGGCTGCGTTACGCTTCTTCCCCTCGATGCCCCATTGCTCCCGCGGGGACCCGTGGGACAACTCAACCGGCGGGGCCGAAGGGCAGAGCCCAGCAGGGAGGCGCCGTTGCCCTTTTTTGCTTTCCTCTCGCCGCGTCTCCAAGGCGGCCGTTCGCTCATCTCCGTCTTTGTGTGCCGTGAAGGTCGCCGGGCTGCGAGCGCTCAGTGCCCGAGGAATTGAACTTGCCCCCACTCCACTGTGGAGACGAAATTTCACCCTTCCTCCCTGTGCGACTGCGCTGCCCGCTGGAGCCCTCTGTTTGCAGCTTGAGCCCACCTCCCTCCTGCCGGTTCTACTATAGTTTCCCCGGTATTTCTGCACATTTTAATTTCCTTCAGAGTGGGTGTAAAGCCTCTGTGGGTCAAACCGGTGATGAGAACGTTTTTATTTTTCTGAAAGGATGGGATTTCCCATGCTTGGGCCTTTCCTGCAACAGAGCCCAGGACCTAAGGCTCCCTGTGAAAGCTTTGGCTTAACTCCCTGTGCTTCACTGCTTCCAAGCATACACCGAGGCAAAGCAAGTATTCACTGGTAAAAATCAGCGCAAAAATTAGCTGTCACCGATTGATTGCCAATAAAAAGGCCCACAAATCCCCCTCACTTGTACGTGTTAACCAAAAGTTGTCTGATTTAAAACCAGGTGCTAGCGGCGGAGCAAATAAAGAGTTCCAGATTTCTATTAAACAGACATCATTTGCTGCACTTTTTGTTCACGAGGAGCAGCTCACCTTGGGCTCACATTCCGTGTGCTCACTGTGGGGACAAGAAGGAAATCCTGCCGAGGATTCAGGGAGAGGTTTAAGCACTGAGCTGGGAGCTTGTCAAAGATAAGGCTTTCTGAGAAGGACACACTCAAATGCGCCGAGACATTGGCCAACTAGAAATTTTTTAATTTTACGATGTTTGTAATTCTATGCATATGTATGTACGTGTATGTACATCCCAAAGCCTTCTCTAGATTTCTGTATGGGTCACTGTATGCACACATGCTGAGGGAGGCAGAGCGGCGCTTAAGAGTGAGGAAGGGTTTCTGAGTCCTGTGAGGAGTCTGAAGGTACACTGCAGAACTAGAAACCTGGGAGCCATGATTCTTGGTTTAGTTTTGTTTTCCTTTCTTTTTTTCCTTATTTAAAAATTTTCTATTATGATCATTGTTTTCGGGGAGCTCATTGTTTTTGTTTTGTTTTGTAGTAAGGTAACAGGAGCAACGAGTTTCTAATCTCTATTGGCGAAAGCATATTTTCACTTCTGAGGGCAAGAAGAACGGGAATGTGTCTCTGACCCGCACCGGGAACATATATTGTTCTCAAGTAGAAATGTCAAAGTAAAGTCATTTACCACCTGGACGTCCTTGACTTCGGATGATTAAAGTTTAATCCGAGGTGTGTGCACAGCTTTACCGTGTTATTTAAACACATCAAAGGTCATAAAGGGATTCCAATAGCATGAATCGTACATCTCTGTGGAGAAATCTGTGTTTCATCCCAGACTAAGCTGCACAGAGCTCGTTAAAGAATGAGAAAATAAAGAGAAAGAAAAGGGGTTGGAAGGGGGAAAATTAATATAATTTGCACCGAGGATGGCAGAGTTCAAAGCGGCCGGAGGGTCCCGCACTCGGGGGCTACGCTCGGGCAGGGCAGAGCCCTCCGCAACCATTAGCTGCACAGACATCTAGCGGGAAAGCCTCGCCACTGCAGCCCGCCCTCCTCGGCCCCCGGGCAGGCGCTTACCGGCTCTTGACCGCCCGGTTCCGTCCTCTCCTCCGGCCGCTTCTCCCCGCCGCAGCCTCCCGCCGAGAGCCGCCGAGCAGCGCGGAGCGGGCAGCGAGCAGCGGGCAGCGGGCAGCCCCGTGGAGCGGCCCTCGCTCGCCCCATTGGAGGCCGCCGCCGCCACCCGGCCCCGCCCGGGACCTGCCCCGACGGGACGGGCCCCCCCCAGACCAGACCAGGCTCGGCCCCGCTCCCGCGACCCCTCCGCCCGCCGCTCTCCGCGCGGCTCTGCCCGCCGACGCGCTCGCTGTGCCACGGGCGGTGCTCCAGTGGCAGGCGAGGCTCTCCTCCTCCTTCCCTCCCTCCCTCGCTTGTGCCGCCGGCTCTGTCGCTGTTTACCCTTGCGATAGGCGATGGTTATCGATGAGCGGCTCGGGACCAGTCGGGGCGGGCAGGGAGGTGCTCCGGGAGGGGCGAGAGATTGTCTGGAGACCCTCCTGCTGCTCCTTGGGAGGCGGATGTGGCTGGGAGCGGGCAGAGAAGGCGGGGAGGGCTCTAAATCGCGGCTAGCGTCTACCTCGACCGCGGGTCCGGTGAGAGAACGGGGTGTCCCAGGAGGGAGAGGACATGAGAAGCTCCCCGTGAGGGGTGACACATGCTGGCACTTGAGCCACCGACCCCGTGCTGGGGGGATTCCAAGTGTCCCCTTCTAGCAGGTGATCTATTGGTCTCGACGAGCGTTGCCAAGCTGCAGCGAGTCCCGCTGACGCTAGAATTGATATCATTTCCCTCGGAGCTATGTGGGTACGCATTTAGGGATCTTCTCCCGCTCCACCTTCCCCCCCTCCCCTCCCCACCCTATCCCCCCTCCCAGGATGTTCACCTCCAGCTTCCCAGCCGATACCTCACTGTTGTGTAGCAGCTGGGACACAGGTAGTCCCATCGCCTGCCCAAACGATGAAGATGCTCAGGTGAGGGCTCAGAGATTGCCACTTTGGAAGGACTCACACTAATGCTCTTCGACCCCACACATTCTACTCTGGGTTTTGGTTTTTTATTCTTCCAGGCAGGGCTTTCCCTGTCGTCTGGTTCCTTCACTGTTTTAAACAGAGATCCCATTTTTGTCCTCGCCTTATGTACCAGAATCCACTTCAGATCCCAATTAGCCCCCATCCTCTTTCCTTTTCCCTACCTCTTGCCCTTCCCTCACCTGCAGTCCCCAGAGGCTGCCAGGACCTGCGGGGATGATCCACACCTCAGAAAGTAAAACCATCCCTTCGATACCCAGATAGAGGCAGAGACATCTTGTTGCGAGCACACAGGTTTGAATTATTAGGCTATAAATTTCGTACCGTGATAAAAGCTTCAGCTGCGTTGTTCAATATTAAAGGTTTTGGCAATAGCATCACTTGGTCTTTTACTTCCTTTTACCCCTGCCTCGGACTACATTCCCCTTTCACAGATTTCTAAGAAAATCTTTCATGTTTTGTTTTAATATCGCATGTATACATTTCAGGTTTCTCAGCCAGCATACAAATAAGAATGGACATATGGCAGGAACATTTGATGTTTGCAAAGGGGCAGAAGGTACTTGCTAACTGATTTCCGCTGTGGAATTATATGGGATTCTCTTTTTCTATATAGGCAACTTTCATGTTAGCTGGCATATTCTTGCTCACAGTTTTTAAGGTTTCCATCCTGTGGTTATAGTAAGAAGTATATATAGTACAATGTGTCTCTCCTTCTCTCCTCTCCCAGTAAATGCAACTTCATCTTAACTCTCTCATTAGAGCATTGTATGCCTAATGATTTCTTCACAGAGGCTAATTATTGGGTTTTGGATTTGGATTTGGATTAGTTTTGTTTTTCTTTTTTCCCCTTTTGCCGTGGTTTTGCCATCCTCCTGAGGATGCGAACTTGATTGAAATCTAATGGTGAAATGCCACAGATAGCGTAGCTTTTGGACACGGTGTTGTCCAAACTTCAGGGGGAACCTCAGCAAACTTCTGACCTCTCTTTTAGTGACCCCCGGGGTAGTTACAGACCCGGAAACACTCTCCCTCCAGCCTCCCACTAAAGTTAATGGGTCAAACAAGCTCCCTCTCCTTTATTTGCCAAATATTTACATCACCCAAAGTACAGATGACGTGTCCGTTCGTGCCTTCATCACCTCACCGCAAAATTATTCCTTCTAGGCAACGCTTTCCAAAGGGTTATGGGAGCGCGGGGCTCTCCTGGCAGCAGGTGGGCACCAGGTCGGGCTCCGGGGATGCCCCAGCTGCTCCCGGGGCTCTCCCAGCCCTGGCCGTGCCCCTCCGCTCACCAATTCCCTGCCCACTCGGCCCTCACCCCGGGTTTCCCCAGCGAACCCGCACACCCGGGGTTGTCGGGCAGGGAGAACTCGCACCTGGTGAATAAGGACACTTCTGCTGGGCACAGGCACAACACTCTGCGCGTTTCCTTTGCAACGCGACCTACGAGATGCAGCTTTACGTTACAACCAGCTGTTATATTTTTCTTTCTTTTCTTTTTTCTTTTTACTATTATTATTGTTGTTGTTTTATAAGGGTTGGCAAAGGGCTGCGCCAGGAGATGGCAGATGATTTCACATCGCGAAGAACTCCCAAAGCAACATGGCGTTGTGAGAGAGGATGACAATCGGTAATTACTGGTAGGCTGCGGGGATCTTCCTCGCTCACAATGGGAAGGAAGCGGCTCGGAGCGGGGACACGGAGCTGGCACAGCGGCAGGAAAGCGGCCTCAAGTTGCGTGCAAGAGTCGGAGGAATTTCTTCCTTTAGGCATCGGTGTTCAGGACCAGAGGGCACGCTTGGCTAGAGACGGACCTTCATTGTTCGGCCGCTCGTTATTCTGCATGTCACAGAGGTTGCTACGAGACCACTCCCTGTTCTCTGTGCCACTGTTGGACTAAATATACTTCGGCTCCCGGGACGTTGCGAATTGTCTTCAGAGCGTGGGAACCCCGGCGTGTGCCCTCCGCTCCGCTCGGCCGCTTGGCACCGCCGCCGCTCCTTCTCCCCGGGTATCTCGGGCTGCTCCTGCCTGGCGGGGGCTGCTCCTCCTGCCCGGAGACAATGGTAGAGCCCGGCCCATTGTCTGCGCTCAGCGCAGTGCCGTGCGTGGGTCCGGGGACACGGGTGGGTGGCTGCGCCCAGGTGGGAGGCGCCGTGTGAGGGGCCATCAGGGACCGGCTCACCCCGGCACGTCCTGGATATCCGCGGGGCTCAAACGCAGAGATCTGGGTCGCTCCCAGAGTGAAGAACGTGTTGGAAGCGCAGTCAGCTGTCGGGTATTTAAGAATGGGATTTAGCCCTCAGCAGGGCCACATATGTAAGTGCTTATCTAAAGAAGACGTAAAATACAATAAGCTTTGGAAAAAATTCATGATTCAGCAAAAATAGAGGGAGTAATGTATTTACAGGGAGATGCAAGTTATCGGCTAGCATGCATTTGGCTGGTGTAATGTTTAAAGGAAAATACTGGATAATTCCTGTTTGGAGAACGTGTTCACGGTATGGGTGGAAAAACATTAGTTCCATCTAACATGAAGAGTAGCAAATGTCTGTTGTTATTAAAGGCAGCACGTAATATATATACCTGAGAAATGTACTCTAGGCGCTAAAAAGCATTTTCTAGACTCCGGTTTTACTAGTGTTTTACCGAATAAAATTTTAACAGAAATGCGTGTGCGTGGTGAAATGTAAAGCTAATTGGAGAACACGGGATCATATCGCAGTATCGGGTAACTTTCTGCTGGGAGGTGACTGAAGCAGGGAGCACCCAGGGCTTGAGCTGAGGGCACGTAGGCGCTGCAGAGCGCTCCGCCGAGGCCAGCTGGCCGCCTCTGCCCCGCACCCGGTCCCAGATGGCGCGTGGAGCCCTGCGGGGCGCGACCCGACGGCTGTGCCACCCACGCGAGAAGCAGTGGAACACGTGGGGGGCGATGGGAACCCCACTCTGAGACCAAGGGGTGCTTCACTCCCTTACTTTGGGGGAATGTAACATCTCAAAAGGTGAGAGGCACACACACACACGCTGACACTGGAGCGAGCCTCTTCGGTGTGGGGCTGGCTGGTGCTCGGTGCGCGAAGCGAGGCACTGGCCCGTGGGCACGGTGGCGAGGCACAGGTGTAACGGGGCCGCCTCCCAGCTCCATGCAGACATACAGAGACTGGGTCCTCGGCTGTCGACCCTCTAGACCACCGGGCGGCTCGACGGGGCCCGACTGGACGGGGAGCTCCGGCTGTGCTTGGCAACAGCACCCACAGCCTCCCAGTCGGGGAAGAGTTGAGGATGGAGACGGGCACGGGGCCGGGCAGGGCGAGCCGTGGCCCCCGAGCCGCCTTCTCCGCAGCCACCTGGCCCCTTGGAGGTGTCACCGAGGCAGACGATGAGTACTGCCAGCTACGGAGGGGAAGGACAGCCCCTTCCACCCCCACCCGCCAACCTGCAGTAAACTTGCGGAGTTTTGCCAGACGCAGGGTGGTTTATCTGGGGGGGTTGTTTTCCTCTCCGTGGAGATCTCCACTCGTGACTCAAGTAAGCAGTCGCTGCCCTCAGTACGCTGAGCCCCCGTATATCATGGGATATTTCTTAAGACAGTCGCGATGAGAGCCCCGCGTATGTAAAGCCTCATCTGAGCAAGGGACTGGAAACGTGAGGAAAAAGAGCTGTTAGACAGACCCAGACATTAGAGATAAACTGCCTCCATCAAGTCAACATTTTAATCAGTAAAACCACTTCTGAAACGGCAACCAAAAAAAAAAACTCTTGGAGAATGTACTCAAACAGCTGTCTTCCAGTAAAGGCAAACATGTCCAATATTTCCTGTATGATTTCTTTTTTTTCACTCTTCTTTCTTTCTGTATAGACTACACACAGCCGCCCTCAGCACAGCGAGCCTCGCTGTTTCCCTTAGGTGAAAGTATGGCTTTGGAGTCCACACCAAAAAAGTAGACACCTCAACGTCTGCGGACACTGAATGCTGCTGTAGAAATGTCACAGTACTGCAGGAATGAGGGGGGGGGGGTCTTTGAGGGAATGCTCTCTCCCGCACTGTTAAGGAAGGAGCGACTTCA